AGTTGTGACATTTTCAGTTGTGAAACCTGCAGTCGTGACCACTTCAGTTGTGACATTTTCAGTTGTGACCTCTGCAGTCGTGACCACTTCGGTTGTGACATTTTCAGTTGTGACGCCTGCAGTCGTGAACACTTCGATGGTGACATTTTCAGTTGTGACATTTGAAGTCGTGACCAGTTCGGTGGTGACATTTTCAGTTGTGACTCCTGCAGTCGTGAACACTTCAGTTGTGACATTTTCAGTTGTGACATTTTCAGTTGTGACATTTTCAGTTGTGTTGGATGGTTCGGTAGGCACCTGGTCTGTGGCGGCTGTGATCGCCGTTCCTAGTGTGCCGGTAACGTCTGTCACATTGGTGGCTGAATTTGAGAAATAAAAAGAATGCCAACATGCATGTAGTGCCTACAATATCTTCATACGAGAAGGGAAGATTCTTAAATATATTAAAATACATTTACCACCCCCCCCCCTTTCTCGATTCCCAAAAATGAGTTAGAAAATCCGATGAAATTCGTACTTCGTCGTTGAAAGACGTTACAGAGGTTCATCAATATTTAAATATTACAAAGATGCCAAAAGAAAGAGATTTTGCACCAATTGCGCTTCAAATTTTCAAAAGCAAAAGATCAACTTCTAGACATTGACACCACGTCCCCGGACACAAAACCTGATATACTGAAAAAAACACTTTTTATAATAATTGGTACGGAAAACCTACCTTCGGTTATTGGCGTGGTGTTTGTTGCACCCGTACCGGAAACTATCACGATGTTTGCACGAGTGCTGTTTGTTGTCTGGCCTGTCGTAATAGGGACAACAACGAACGATGGTTAGTCTTAGATCAATTAATGATAATGTGGGCTTAGTGCATTAAGTTCGCAAGACCTTTTATGGAAAGAAAATTCCCGAGATATTTGAATGGATATTCGAGAACATGAATCATGTATTTACTTCATCTGAAATCTGAATTAATATTTCCTCAGCCCTTTTCAGGGTAAAAAAGGGCTGACCCTTTTAAGGTCAACATTAACATTTCTCTAGGTCGATTGTACCAAGAAAAACATAATTTTTTTAACCGGAAAGAACTGAACAAATTTTGAATTAAGATTACTTGTCAATCTGACCAAGGAGGTTTTAGAGTATAGTTGGAACGTCGTCGGCTAACGTCATATTGATCAAGGGCGATTCCAGAACCACATTTTCGGATGGGGGAGGCAACCGGCCAGCAAGATGTTGCAAATTTGAAGGGGGGGGGGGGGGGAGAGGCTGACACTCATTTGACACATGGTTTTGGGTGCTCTTTTTTTCCAATTTCTCTTATCTCTATTTTTATTCATATTTCACGAATCCGTAAAGGGGTAAGGAGTTGCATCGATTTAAACGCAGTCCCATTGACTCCTATTATGATCTGCCTATATATGGATCATATATCAAAATAATGTTGAAAATTGTGTTCAATACACCAAGAAATATTTCATCAAAATATTTGAAGGGAAGTAGGCCTAAATGTAATGTAATTATATAAATTCTGGCTCAAGGTATCTGCTCAATCCGAATAATAACTATGAAAACTCCGCAAATTTTAAAGCCGATTCTTATTGATTCTAATCGATTGAACCGATTTAATCGATTCTTTTCATCTTTTGACCAGTTTTGGATTTAGTCCGTTTTGATTTCTAGTCCAATACTATGGCTGTTTAGAGTATCTACAATCTTTGTCATTTGAAAAACATAATAGGTTTAACAACGAGCAATGGCTGCCATTTTGAAAATTTTGAATATTGCTGGTGATTTTTGTACCTTTATTTGTTTTTAAAGGGCAAATCTGCGATGGCCCTACAGCCAAATATCTTTCTCATGACACATCTGTGTGCCAAATGCCATGCTTATACCATCAAAGCCACAATTCCATCTGCCGTACTCAATAGATTGTATATACGACAAAAGAAACCGCTTCTGAACTGATAAAAAAGTTCCCACCATTTTCCAGCGGGTTTTGTTTAGTATAAAACTTTACACAACGGTATATATAATACTTCTTTAAACAACAGCCTACTTCTTTCAATCAATGAATGTATAAACTGTATTACCTTTTGAACTGCCTGCTTTGTTGATATAACTGTCTTTTTAGCGAATATATGTCCATTGATTGACGCATAAACTCAATATTGAGTAAATCGACAACACGAGGACTGCTAAAGCGAAACTTGCTTTAAAATTTGATATTTACAATACAAATGCCCACAGTGTTTGCAGTTTTGGGTCTCATTCAGTTTCTGTTTCGGTTGAGTTGTTGGTAGATATAAGACTTACGCACACACATTACGTGCAATTTTAGATTTTGTAAAATTGAAACGTCACAATCCATGGTAGAATTTATAGTAACCTTTAAAATACTGTATCCACCTGGAATATGCCACTAGGCCTGTGTAGAAAAAAAATTCCCAATCTAGCAGGAATACTGCACTAGATTTATGGTGAAAATATCCATGTAATTTAACTTCTCCATGCCATTTAAACTGTATGGTTTTTTTTTTCGCTTTCATCTGCCTGTCAAATATTTATTCTCGTCCAAAGCTAGCTATACGAATATTAAGCTTATTCCACGGTGCTATGCAAGAAAAAAAACAAAGTTTACATCGTGTTTTGTTTCTGACACTGTAATTGTGTTACTGCTCAAAAGTTCACCAGCCCATACAGTGAGGAAGACATAACGAATTTCACATTAGCACATGCGTCACAAACGCGCAACGCGTCTGATGTAAAAAATAAAGGTAAAAAATCACGAGACCGTGGCAGGTTATTTCATGACCGGCAAGAAAGCTCTCAAAGATCATTCTGCGATAGTTTGAAGTCAGATCTTTTCAGAAGAAATCACAACTTCAATGTGTTTCACTGATTGACACCATGTGACAAATAATTGACCGCTGTGATATGGTGCGGGACATGTTTTTTGACACCCTCACGGACGCATGTTACCCTTGATTCTATAACCGTGCCATACAATGTATTACAACCGGCGTTCCATACCACAGTAGTTCAAGTTTTTTAAACAAAATCTTTAAGATCTTTCTTCAGTATACATGCTTCAAAACATTAGTACCAAACAACATCTTGCTAATGGTATAGTGAGTCAAGGTAAGCCTGGTAAAGTCGTTCCTAAAGCGCAAAGTAGCTCTATTTAAATAATTGATTAAGAATGCTGTCCTGAATCTATCCTACAAATTTGTAAACTGTTGAAATGGGATGGTGCCAAACACTTGAAGTGCGTGCCAATTAGCCTCACCTTCATTTGCTTTTTTTATGTCTAAAAAAAAATAGGCCAAATTTAATCAAAACTTTTATATTGTTCATCAGAGCAGACTTGTTTTAATTTTTCATGAACGTTTATTTCATTGCTTTCTTTTCTACTCGCGAGTACCAAAAGTGAAGAGTCTTTCAATTTAACATGGCGGAATAAAGTCTATTCACAAGTAACTGTTAGTAAGTCAGTCAGTTAAAAGGACAATATGTATAGGCGGGCATTTTTGGTATCAGAAAAACAACCGAATGTATTATACTAACCGTGTGTTTTAGCGGCGACGGACAACATAGCAAGTAGTTCCAGTAAACCAAGGAGTCTTCGAAAAAAACGCATTTTCATCCTTTAAGATCTCGCTCAGTCTTTTAAAATTGAGGTTAACGTCTGGTATGATGCGCAACTTTCGCGATACTGTTTGGTGTCGTATCGAGTACCAATCAAACACTACGGAGAATGACTCAAAGGTGTAGCAGGCCTAGGCAAACTTTCGCTTCTCAAAAGCGATTGGAATATGAGAGGTAATAGGACGAACACTAACTAATAAATAACAGAGAATCAACAATCAATTGAATCGCAGGTTGTTGTTTATTATGGCGTTTACTTTCAAATTCAACATTACTATGGCAACGCAGTTATTAGTTCTTATTTATACGCTATTTATACAATAATTCTACAATCGCGTTTCGTTCTAAAGGTTTGATGAGAATAAACTGGATTAGAATTGTCTACTTCTTGACGAGTTTATAACTAAGGCATATGGGCCTATGTACAATAGACAACGAAAACCTAACACAGCGGTCGATATGAATACAATTTGTTAAAATGTACTACTAATAGGATATTGCAATGTGTTTAAAATGCTTTTTAAAGTTGAATAAATTGTCAATGTCCTCAAAATTTCTAGGGATCGAGACTTAGTGCGCCGCATCCCAATGGTGTTCGACTCGCATGCCGTGGTGTGTGCGTTCGAACCTGACGGGGAACATGGTGCTTGTGTTCTTGGGCAAGAACACAATTATATATTACCTCTCTCCACCCAGGAGTATAAAAATAGGTAAACGGCCGGGGACCAGAATGCACTGATCTTGAGTTGCTTGCAAAAACAGGTCTCGTTGCCTGATGAACAGGGGTAATAATTGTGATGCGCTTTGAGACCTTTGGTATAAAGCGCTACATAAGCACCATATTAGCATTTTTATTAGATAAAACAAACTGAAAATGACTGTTTGTTTGCTGTTGTCCCGACAATTGCTTGAGTATTGCAGTTTGGTCTGGTGAACCTTATGGATCCAGTTACCAGCTAACACCATCTGTGTGCTATGAATTTGTTTCACCTGTTCAGTTCACTAACTCTTTGTTATTTGTGGATAAGGTCGAAAAATATGAACTCAGTTGCTGCTAGCTACAGACGACAAGTCTGAGCGCAACCTTTGGAATCCAATTAACGCGTCAATTTGTTTAGTAAAATATAACAAATAGTCTCGAATTGCATCATGATTTATAGAAAATGTCATGTAGGAATCTTTCAATCACCGACATGCATTGCAAAATGATGAAATATGCAAAATAATTTAATAATTTATAATTTACAGATTTTCGTAGGTTAGTATGTTGATACTTTAGAAAAGACAGAAATTAGGCAAAACCAGATTGCAATTCCATCTTACGACTAAAAAAAAGTCGAACACAACTTAGATCTTGTCCTACGTGGCACTCTATATTTAAATAGTCTGGATGAATCTTTTAAATCATCACCCACTCTCTCTATCTTTGCTAGAAAACTTAAAACTTATTTTTTAATTACATATACTAAAGTAATGTAATAGGGATAATAACGGCCGTGATTTCTGTCTTACACCGGTGTCTGCGCTTTGTCTTTTCATATATGTTTGTCACTTGTCTGTCTGTCCATAGGCTGGGGAACAAAAGCTGATGCTTCACCCCGGACCTACATGTTGCCATTTAGTTAATGTTCACTACTATATCAATTGTAAATATATCTATGTACATGTATTGTCAAGTTGATTATGTATTATTATTTATCATCCTATATGGCAGCATTGAGATAAATTTATCTAACACCGAATTTCTTGCAATTGGAGGTAACATCTACAAATAATGACAATTATTCAGATTCACTATAATCTTTTCAGAGTCCATTAGGCAGAGACCATTCACCGTTAGTCACAGGAACGGAGAAGGGATGTTCTATATCATCTTCAGGGGACGTGGACATAGTCTGGCTCCGGGTTGTCAGATGAATAAACCCACTGTCTGATGATGAAGGGGCGTGTCGTGCGTACTTCTTCCCAGTCGAGAGGCTGATCTCCAACACGCTGCGTGCCCGCCTCTGAAGACACCTCCCCAGCACCGCGCGAGTGGCCTCCTGCCTCAAGCAGAACAGCAAGAAGATGAAAAGCCCCTGGAGCGAACTGAAGACGGAGAACAGGACCTGGAAGGCGAAGGTGGCTGCCTCGAAGACGGACAGGATCCCGAAGATCCAGGTCAGCCCCATCAGGTTGGAGATGGCGATGGCATTTTGAGCTCGAATCATGAGTTTCTGGCGTCTGCGGGCCGAGCCTTGGAGCTTCCCTGGCCGGTACAAGTTGATCATCACCAGGACGAAAATGACGGTGTTGTACGCCAGAACAAGTCCGAGGACTAAGAGTTGGCCGTAGTAGAAGGCGTTGCCACGCTTCAAGAAGCAACTATTAAAAGGCCAATAAGCAGTAAAGTCAAAACAGAGGATAGTGACAACTTCATACTCTTAAAACAAATTGTGAGATGTAAGAAAAATGGTGAATTTTACAACTTAGGAACTGGAGACCGTAAGGTGTTTTGGTAGAATTTGATGAGAAAAGGGAAAACTTACAAGTTGGTGTTCTCGTATTGGGTGGGGTCAAACCCCAAGATTATGACGACAATCAGTAAAGGAGCACCTGCATTAGAATAAATGTGATAAAGGAGCTTTTGTATTACCTGCATTCCGAGACCATGAACAAAAAAGAGAGAACAACAGGTTCTTTGTTGTCCTCGAACGTTCATCTTTTGTTGAAAACGGTCCTCGAACGTAAGTCTGTGTGCTTAGTCTATGGTGAAGGCTCCCTTTGCTGCCAGTTCCTTTCTGTATGTCGTTATTAATTTGATGATGTTTTCAAAGACATACATGTAGTTATTGCCAGGCAGTGGTAGGTAAAATATAAGCGGCAAATCACTATAAAGCAAACTCACAAAGTTTAACACACCAAAGTATACAGTGTGTATAAAAAATGATACATTCAGAGAAAAAAATGTTGAAAATGATAGCTCCTATGTTGTTACTAATAACTTATAATATAAGTATAAGTATATTGTGCGCTTAAATAATGATGATTTCTGAACACAATGCTGTTTTACCTATCTCATTTGGACACCTACATCCAGATATTTAGACAGTTAATTGAAAGGGATGATAATATGTCAATTTCTGGTTCAATTTGCGGCAAAGTGGATGAAAGGAGATTAACAAGCCAACAATCTCTCTGTTGGTCAACTTCAATATTCCTATTGTTCTTTGCCAATCAACATTGAGTTGGAACAACCTAAACTAATTATGCTACATTGATCATGTAAAGGACTTACATAATAAATGAATCGTAGGTTCCACTTGAACTAACTTAAGAAACTGTCTTGCATACTGGGGGTTTATATGCGTCGTTAAATTAAAATCGCACATTGCAAAGTTGAAAAATTAAAAATGTGACACTTGTTGCCGCCTTAAGAAGGACCTATTCTCAAAGGTTTACAACTCCGCAAAGAGCAACCTGCTACACCTCATACTAGCACCTACTTACCCCAGGCTATGACTGAAGCCTTCAACACAAAATGTCGACGTTGGATGTTGAGTACCTTGACCAAATACAGATAGAGATTGGTGGCTTCTACGGCCATCCATGCCAGCGATGACAGAGTGAAGTAATGAATCAAGACGGCTACGACTTGGCAGCCACGATGCGAAGACGTCTGCTCAATACCAACCAAGAAGACCAGGTAAAGACACAGAAGAGACAGGCACAGACAGATCAGGATGCGGCTGGGTGTTTTTGCTCGTAGCGATCTCGGAGAAAGACACACAGAGAAAAAAAATATGCAATTATTTTATTCCGTATGGAGTGCCGTGGCCTCGTGGTCTAGAGCAATGAATGCGTGGCCTGCGGGTAATTCTGGAGGTTGTGCATGGGTTCAAGTCCAGCACGGGTCATGGGGCGTGTGCCCTTGGGCAAGGCACTTTGTCACTATTGCTTCTCTCCACCCAGGAGTAAATGGGTACCTGTGAGGACAGAGATTGTTAATGTGGTTGTTTTTTTAGCTGCTTTGCTCCGAAATGGCAGCATCGAGCTGAGATTGTCTTTGGAATGTTTCATTGGTCAAATGAGAGCCCTGTAATGATGATGATGTAGGGCCTTGAGCACCAATACTGGTGGATACGTGCGCTTTGAACTGCATTATTTTTAAAAGTGAGCGATACTATTAAAACGAAACCGTTTGGTTGTTCAATACGAACTTAATGAAATTTAAGTATTTTAAGATAGGGCCAGCATTGATGTTACAAGAAAACGTACGATATGAAAATATTTATATTTATAAGTCCCGTAATATGTCAAACGCATACCAAAGTACAAATACAGGCTTCAAATGACAAGGACTGTACAATGACATTGGGAGGTCTTTGAATAGTTTTTTTTTCTAGATGCTAAATGACTTGTGATTGAATTTTGATTAACTGGCGAGGACTTGTGATGGACTTGACTCAAACGCTTATCTTAAAGAAGTTAGTATGTTTGCTTACTCGATCGCAAGATAAACGGTGATCGTGATGAGAAGTGCAACTATGGAAATTCCACAGCCGATCTTGCTGATGATATCCAGCGTGGAACTAGTGTGAGTCTGACCGTATACATCCTTCATATCAACAGAAAACCATATATAAGAAATAAGACTGAGGGGTTTACATGGTGGACATGGTCAATGAATGGGAGGTTTGCATTAACACTCTGTGAATGATGACTCTTGGTTAGTTGTGTGGTTCTGAGAAGAACCAGTTGAAGTTTAATATTAAAGAAAATTGCCTTAAACGGAGAGTCACTATTTCCAGACAGATCTCAATTCACTCACGATGTTAAACCGACATCTTTGGCAAAATTCTTTCTTTTCGGAACTTTCTTCTTTTATCAGTTTTGAAACTTTTAAAAATCCTTTTTTTTTCGTAAAATTTTGGGAACCAAACATGCAACTTCTTTTGATCGAAAGTCCATTTTTTCAAACACGTCAAGGACCATATTTGCATCAAGCACGCGCAAACTGCCATTCCCTACACATCGTAAGGCATTTCTCCAAGACTTAAAAAAAAAAACTGCCAGCATCATCACTCAACAGCAGAATGCAACGCCAATCCTTTTGCTGTTATATTCAGGTTTGAAGGCAAAACAGTCAAATTGCCAAATTAATATCCATATTAGCTAGGTTGGAATTGTTGTACTGACTGTTTTCTAGTATTCCCAACGAGTTATTTTGAGTGCATTGAATGGTTAGTAATAGAACGGTTATTTTATTGAATCTGTACTCTTAGTGCACAGAGTAACAGCATCCAGTAAGCCCCTCCCACTGCGCACTGGGCAAATTAACACGTGCTCCTCTCCAAGGCCACACTGCATTTTCCTGCCGCGCGCATCATACGCGCGTGCACGCGTGTCGAACTTTTGTGCACGCATGTCGGACATAAATCACGGCTGTGATTGGTCAGAATACAATGGGGCGGTGCTTACTGGATTGGTCCATTGGCTAGGACCACTGATCTCTATATAAAGACTGGATAGCGGATATGCATACAACATTCACACAGTAGACTTTGCATATTGACCAATTCGCCCCCGGTCTCACGAAGATGGCCGCGTATATACGAACGTTCTACGCGTAAATACGCGCGCGTTGTATCAACGGTTGACGCGCATTTTGGTCACGTACACATATTATGATGTTCTAAAAAGGACACATTTCCGTAGTGGTTATTATTTCAAAAACGCCGAAAAAGTGATTTGCGGCATTATAAAAGTAATCACGACGTTAGAAAAATTGTAGTAAACCTTGGTCAGTTGGTCAGTGGTGGTGGCCAAAATATAAGTCAAGTGAGTGAACCGCGACGTTACAAAAGAAATCATGCTGTCTATAAAGACGGCAACTTGTCCTTTGTAGATCACCAGCCGGTCTCACCAATATGGCGTCAAATTCGTACATTGTGCGGCTCTTTATTAGCTATCCAGTCTTTATATAGAGATCAGTGGCTAGGACTTGTAACACACGCGCATATGGAAGCGACTGAATGCACTTTCAATAGATACGTGTATTACTTCCGGTCGTAGTCAATAATTCGAGCGCAGTCGTTCTTACCACGAGTACAGCGAAGCTGGTGAGATGATTACAACTACATAAGGTCAATCCATAATAGTCGGTAGAAACAGTCTTGCACCCTGCCTTCGACCAGTCACCACTGCCGTTATTCAAAGTGAAATCCCAAAACACACATTCTTTCGTATACTGGTCAGTATTACTGCCTGCCGATACCTGAGAAAAATGTTTCATGTCTTGAAATTTGTTTTATTCTTGATATTTTTTTAAGTTAACTAAAATTAAAAAATACTCTATATTCAGTAATGATTAGAGTTGCTGACTCGAGTCATGTGACTTGGACTCGAGTCGGACTCGAGTCGCTATTGTTGTGACTTGTGACTTGACTTGTAAATACCAGCTTTGACTTGTGACTTGACTTGGACTTGCAAACAATGACTTGTGACTTGACTTGGGATTGCAAAAAATGACTTGTTACCAACCCAAGTCAGACGCTACTCGAGCGACCCAATACACTTTAATTAAGCTATTATACTTTTAATTAGCTTTTTCATTCCAGAAAATAGACCACTGAATCCAGTAAAATGAATAGTTCCCACTAGTTTCAAAAGTTTTCAATAAGACTGTCACAACAAACTACAGTTTTCAATGACCCATTGTCTCTTGCTTAATGTATTGGTTGAACAAACTTTGAAAGGAACCTTTCATGAAAAGAAAGCAGGCCTTTGTCAATTGCATGTAAAATACCGGATAGCCTAACCCATTGGTAGGCGTTTAGTATACATGAAAATTGAACAATAAATTGTTAGTATACTACATGTAATCGAGTGAGGAAGTCGACAAGTGTTGACAAGTGTTAACCATGTTTCGTGAATAAAAACACAAAAGAGACTTCTAGTCCTTACTATTACATAAACTTTTCACTCCAATATTAATTAATAACCAGGGAAGTGAAAGCCTGTATAGGAAGTCGGTATACAGTTTGAAGCTATACGGCTGGGCTTTGGCTAATATTGATAGAGTATCAGTACAAAAGGTGATTAGCCTATGTGGGCCAGGCCATTATGGGAAAAAATCCGGAATGTATTAAAGAAACAAATTGAGACTTTGTTCATGCCACAGTAACGTTGAACCAGTTCCTGACCCAAAACTTACCATGATACGGAACGTGCTCATGATGGACGAGTTAGACGGGAGATTCTCCACTTTCACCCCGTCGAAGGAGGCCGTGACGATCCTGCTACCAACCAACCGCTGATTGGACTTCACATTTGCCTCAAGGAGACTCTGAGATCGAAATAGGTTGCTGTTTTGGTAAACAACGAAGCTGAGCGGGAGGTCATTATCACCTACGTATTTGTAAGGGAAAGAAATCATATTTATAAAAGCCTACAAATTGCAATGAAACCTAAATTGACGTGCTGAAAATTGACAGGATAAAGCTATTGATACTTATGACAAGATGGTTTATCTTTCTGAAAATACTTTAAAGATTTGGGCATCTGCAGGGAGCAGTCGAGTAAAATCGGGGAGAAAACTACTAAACATGATGTTACTAGGATCAAAAGATAGGTAGGACCATGCTTGTGAATAGGAAATAATAATTTATATACTGCTGTTAACTGCAAAACTGCGTTGTAAAATGCATGAACGCTGCTTGGTATGGTTATTGAAGCACTTGTCTAGAATAAACAAAGCACGGAAGACGCAGTCTTTTTAGTGTGTGGGGCTTTTCACTCTCAATGTCTCGCTCTGATCATTGTCATTCAACGTTTCAAACGGTAGAAATCGTTGAGACAACGCGAAACGACCTGACTGAATAAACTGAAATTCATCAATTTGGAAACAGCCTATGCTAACAGATATGAGGATTCTATTTTACCCTCTGCTGAAGGCAATAGATCAACTAGTGCCCCGGGCAGATATATCTTTGTCTCAATGTCATCAGTTTGAACGTCGCCACCGTCAGTGAGCGTCACAATCGCGTCTTCCGTCAAGACTCCGTTTGCAGACTGGTTGTAGATTGTGGTAAACGACACTCCGCCACTCAGCGTCGACAGCGGCAAGTTGAACGCCTTGACAGCAAGACTAGACGTCACGGTGCTGAAGTTGCCTCCCTGGGAAAGAGTGTGGGATACTTGCCGCTCCATGCATCGTACGACGTTAGAGGGCGAGTCCGTAGTCTTGTCGAAGGCGTCCTCTGGAGCATGAAGCAAGTTGTTGACGGCGTGCACGACCTGCTCAGTGATCTAACATTGGGAAGTCATCAGGAATGGCGTATTACATCAGGACAACTGCCTCTGTATCTACATTTTCTCAACAGAGGGCGGGATAATGTTACAGCTATCACGCACGTGACTGTTGTCTACAGAGTAACTGTGAAATCGAAGAGCCACCATTGGTGGAATGAATGTGTCAACCACTGTACAAAACACCAGCAATAACTAGATCAATGTCATTTCCAAGAGCCTTTGTGAACGTACCTCTTGTATTTCTTGGTCTCTAAAAAGCCTGCTCTGCAACTATGAACATCAACATTAAATATACCAAGTATTCTCTAAGAGAAGGAAAGGAAATGACTAAAGCCTAAAATCGTCAGATTTATTTGCCACCATGTTGCTGAATGTTGACTTACCTCCGGAGATGTGTTTTCAACGCGGACAATGTTATTCAGTATATCAGCCGATGCCTGCACGCCGTCACTGTCTAGAGATGACGGGCTGTCTGTCAGACCTAGGAAGACTTTGGTAATCTTATCGACATTTTCTTCTGTCACAGGATACTAAACGGGGAAAAAAAATAAGATAATTAGATAATTAGATTGTAATAGATGTAATTATCTTAATTTGCTACCTAACGCGCACGTGCCTGTAACTGAGTAAATGATGCACCATTTAATTGGCTTCTTTGAAAAGAACTGCTACCGTTTGAAAAAGAGAATCGGAATCGTCAACTCAGTTCCAGAGCAAAACCTCCAACAAGATGTTGATAAATAAACACTGTGACAATACATCTTTCCAATTTCATCAAATCTTTCATAATGATGCACGATTTAACTGACAGTTTGCATAATCTTTATATAGGCCTAGGCCTAGGCTAAGCTTGCTTCGCTCCAAAATATCAAGTGACTATAAATTCAACGACAAAGGAGCTTCTGATGTTTGCTGCCACCAACAGAACATCTAACCCACAAATAGTTCAAAATGTGACTCAAGGAAGCCTTAAGCGTTATTATCTTGAGCTACTTGTTTTGAGAGATTTCGAAGCGGATGTTTCAACGTACTTCGGCCAAGTCATCGAGTTGCTCATTGATGACGTCGCTGTCCACCCGGCAGTCTTGGATGACAGGCTCGCGCCAGAAGGCGCTGATTTGGGCGCTTCCATCGCATAGTCGTGACGCTACAGGCGTCTTTTCACCTTCCAAATTAATAATTCATAAAACAAGTTGACCGTTTTATCATTGAATGAATCACTTTTTGGAACTTTAAAAAAAATTGTGTTCCAGTGATATTCTACTTGGATTTTGGAACTTCATGCTTACACAAAGTTACACATGCATAAAAGGCCTTAAAGCAATCATTCAAAATTCTGTGCTAAAAAGAACAAGCATGTTTACTTTGTTCTGATCTGATAATTGATGTATTTCCCTTCTCATGTTAAATCATTTCAGTTCCATTTAAAGGTTCAATCGCTCAAGAAATGTTTTCTCCTTCCCACAAAATAAGGCATTTGACAGTAAAAGATACCACATTGTCAGGTAATAACGAATCCATCAAAACATCGATCGCAATCGATCAGATTTTCAGAATACTAGGTAGTAGCACAATATAACATTTTGTCTATCTACCTGTTTCTTTGTTTGTGACACATTCCTCCACTGAGGTCTGGTTTTCGGTCACTTTTGTCTTTTGGAAGGTCAGATACCCGCCTGAATATTCGTACATGGTATCCGTGCACCAATCTAAAGCTGAAGGCAACAAATGAAAAACAAGTGAAAAATAAGACAAAACACAATTGACAAGACCTACACATTGAGAAATTCAACAAACTCGCAATCATATACACCAATGGGCAAATGATTCTCATAACGAAAAAGAGGTATGCAGCAAAATAGAAATTAAAAATTCTTTTAACTGACTCGAATTCTTTTAACTGACTCGAACCTATCGTGGTAGAATCGCGTCAACACAGCTTGTGAAATATTGTCCAATTACATGATATAGGCCTACAAATGGACGCAGAACGCGCAAAATCTGAGACAAACAAAACTTAACATACTAAATTCCATGGGGTGGTCTAAGGAGCGTGGCTAACTCTCATTCGGCGATAGGTCAATTGAACGATCCATTAAGCCCCGCCCAGTGGTGTTTTGACCAATCACAGTCATGATAGTTTGTCCGACATGCATGCATAAAAGTCAAACTTGCGTGAGCGCGCCTAACGACGCGCGCAGTATTGCCCATACGTGGGCAGTAGGTGGGGCCTAATGCATCGATCAATACTACAACGACACGGCTACAGCAGAAGCTTAACTTCACTGAATCTCAACATTATCATTGCTCTGTCGATTGGCTTATTGTGATCTGTGTTTAGAGGTCGAACGTTGTGGCTTTTCTCCATTTAAGTGGGCCTTTATGTGTTAGACATTTGCTGCCCTTTCATAGTTGGACTTTGGTAATTTTACATGAAAGGATACAAATTCATGTATAGAACAATACCTATGACAGTTACAGTGAAGCTGCATTCTTGCTGGTTCCCGGCACCATCTGCAGCTGTACACGTGACAAGCTGGTCCCCAACCCTAAATTCGACACCACTTGTAGGTTGGCAGTCAATGCTTGGATTCACGCCCGAATTATCACTAGCTGTGGGGTCTGACCACGTGACTAGCGTACAGTCCAGTCCTGGTGATGCGCCTCTACTAAACGAAGTCGGGCACCACGAGAAAACTGGCTTCTCCTTGTCTGAAAAAAAATATGATTACGAAATTAAGATTTTCTCTGATAAGCTACCAGATGAATCAGAACTATTAAAACTTAGAGTTTTAATCAAGCAATAAGCGACATTCTGCGTTCTTAGAAAGATCAACATTGAAGATCAACCCAAATTGTTATCACCATTGACAGTCACGACGAAGCTGCATTCTTGCTGGTTCCCGGCGCCATCACTGGCCACACACGAGACACGCTGGTCTCCAATCCTGAAATCGTTACCATTTGCAGGTTGGCAGTCAATGGTTGGATCTAAGCCCGAATTATCACTAGCTATGGGGTCTGACCACATGACCAACGAATAGTCCAACCCTGGTGAGGTGTCTCTACTAAACGAAGACGGGCAGAAAGCGAAAACTGGGTTTTCGTTGTCTGAAAAGAAAAACAGATAAGCATAGTGTTTACAACAAGATATAATTGTAATGTATTGGAACCCAAATTATGGGCACTTCCCGACATGGTCGTACGCCGATCTCCCACCTTTGATTTCTGTACATTTCTCACAGTGCTTGTGACGTAGTTTGATCAACGACGAACCAACCAACCGATCTTGTTAGCTAGGTGGTGAAGAGGCAAGACCTCTGCACTAGAAAGCAGGAGGTCGTGGGTTCGAGTTCCATCCGAGTGATTTTTTTCCATCTTTCACTCGGGAGGTAACACACTGAGTATACAGTGTTTATACGTCGGTGAAGGGCAAAACCTAATTTGATTTACATCACCCCGACGCAAAATTCCATCTTATGAAGGGAGATGTGTGTTCTAAATAAGTTGATTTTGAAATTATTCTGACAGCTTAAAAAACATACCAATGACAGCAACAACGAAGCCGCATTCCTGTTGATTCTCCGCACCATCCGTGGCGGTACACGTGACACTTTGGTCACCAATTAAGAAAGTGCCATTGTTTGCTGGTTGGCAGTCAATGCTTGGAATAACGCCCGAATTATCAGTAGCTGTAGGGTCTGGCCACGTGACTAGCGTAGAGTCCAATCCTGGTGATGTGTCTACACTAAACGAAGTTGGGCACGATGAGAAAACTGGGTCTTCGTTATCTGGAAAACAAAGTGTATCGGAAAAGTCTCAAATGAATTTAGTCTCTCTACACACAATGTCAGACATAACACTAAAGAATCGAAGTCATACGTTTATCAGCTTCATGGCTGCCGTCCATGGACATATTTGTAGGTCTAACATAATTTCACAAACGCCTCGTACCACTTAAGACAAGGGGAAACACTGTTTTTGCAAATTCGGAAAGTGCTGTTCAACTTCAGAACATCGACTTCCTAAGTGACTTTCGGATTCATTCTTCCAAAAACTTTGAAACAAGTACACGAATTAAGCAAACATTCAATAGTTTCACAATATTTTTTTACCAAGATTTTGAAGGCACATTATGAACGAATGGTGGTCAAAACATACAGAGTCATCATAAGCCTCAGAACATGAAACATAGTGGAGAAACAAGAGCGTGTGCACAAAAAGCTCTGTCGAAATATGCGACGCCGCGATAGCACACTTTTGGTCAATTTGGGGAACATTTCCTCCTTCTTGATACCGTCCAAACACTACACAAAATACCACCGACTATAACATTACTGCACATATTAACAAACTTTTCATAAACGTCTTTCTAAATTGTTACAAACAATTTTGGTTAAGTATTAAATTTATTTCGTTTTGTTTTTTTGAAAAAAAAAAAAATTTGGTACTTATATTTTTATGGGAAACTAAGGGGGCTTATTTTAGTAAATTTTTGGGACAGACATAATGCGCATCGATCGAAATAAAACCCGTGTTCCAAAAACTTTCGTCAAGAGTGCATTTACTGATGAGGGCATGGCCTTTAGTCAATTAGTCAATAAGTTTTGGTCAAATATTTTGGCCAATTTTCGAGGACAGACAAGCAGATCGACCGATTGACCGACCGACCACCAAGTGACATGTAGAAGTTCCTGCCAGAGCTTAAAAACGTCAAAAAGTACGCACCTCTAACAGTGACAGTAAAGCTGCATTCTTGCTGGTTGCTGTATGCATCTGTAGCAGTACACGTGACAAGCTGGTCACCAATCACAAACTTGCTACCACTTATCGGTGAGCAGTCAATTGAATCTAAGCCCGAATTATCACTAGCTATGGGGTCTGCCCACGTGACTAGTGTATAATCCAATCCCGGTGAAGTGTCTTTAATCAATGGATTTGGGCACCGCGAGAAAACTGGCTTTTCGTTATCTGAAAAGGTAACAGGAAAGTTTATGACAAACTTTTAAAACAAAAGTCTGGTAGCTTGTGTAAAAGAAAAGTTGCGTTAGCAAAAGTAAGCTACATTGTTTATGAAGTTCAATCGTAGGATTCTATATGCTGTTATAAAACATTATTTGAACTTCAGTTCGTTCAACATTGTGTTTGCTCCAATACAGCGAATAAAGGCTGAGACACTTTTCTAAGAAATGTCCGACCTTCGTGGATTTATAACTCAACATCTTTCACCTATCAACCCTCCCAAACACTTCTCAAGGCAACTTCAATCGCCAATTCGAGCTATGCCGGACACAATCCTTTTATGTTCGTTGGATTTAAAACTACTTTTTATCGTTTTCATCGGCAATAAAATCTGAAAAGTAGATTTTTTTCCCCGGACACTTGGCCTCCATTAAATCAAAACAATGGAGGGGGGGGGGGGGGGGGGAAGTGAGGTCAATTTTTTTGCCACAAATTTTTCTCTTGCACCGTCGTGCGACTTTTCAGTTTCTATAAATTGAGATGCTAGTAATACTGTTACAAAGGTCTTTTCGGAGGCCCGAGGGTAATGTTCTAAAGATGTCAATGTACTAAAGGCAATTAAAAAAACTCCGAACTATATATACACGCTAAATTTCCAATTCAAGGGTTCCGGAAGCGCGCCACCAGGGGTCGACTTTCAGGCTCATTACCTACTATTTAATGCTCCAAATCACAAGGCCACGGCATTCCAACGAAAATCAGTCTAGCTAGGAACGAAACAGGCACTCTAATAATTGTGTTTACCTTACGACAAAGCGCCAACCAATAGGCCTGAGACTAATGACGTCACGCTTTGCTTACAAGTCATGTGCGCGTTCCCATGTAGTAGACGGTCCCTTCTTCGTCTGGCGTCCCGACTTCGCCCTCATTGGAAAGCGCATTTTGTAAACAAACCATTACGTCCTTAAATCTTAGGTATTGTGGCTGGCGTCAAAGATTGATACTCTTTATTACCTATGACGGTTACATTGAAGCTGCACATTTGTTGGTTGTCGGAATAATCCGTTGCAGTACACGTGACACTTTCCTCGCCAATCCAGAAAATGTCATAACTTGCCGGTTGGCAGTCAATGGCTGGAACCGGTCCCGAATTATCTCTAGCTATGGGGTCTGGCCACTTGACTTGCGTATAGTCCAAACCTGGCGATGTGTGTCGACTTATTGAAGGTGGGCACCACAAGAAAATTGGCTTCTCGTTATCTGCGAATTTAAAATATATATATATTTTTTTTTATAATAAAAAAAAAATGCAAAATAGGAATTACAAAGCATTCCTGAATTATTCTGATTAATGTTTACTTGATTTGAATAAGATACCTTTTGTTTTTACAACGAACTACATTTTTGGTACCTTTCCATGAGTTCATTTTCCTGCGGATACTAGGTGTAACAGAAAAGATTAGTCTGTATGCTACTCACAAGCTTGATGATTGAGTAATCAGGGTAACGAATATGGTTAATTCGAGCGATTCACATGCAGTGCGCCACCAAGAGTTTGCCACGGAGAGTCCATTTTTCAAGTTTACGGTCGACAAAACATGGCCCATTTGAATGAGTGTCGGAAGACAACTTGAGCTAATTATGTCATAGATTGGGGCATGGCGTTCTGCCGCCTTAAAAAAAACCACCATATTGATAACAAGAAAAGAAATGGGCAAACATACACTCGAATCATACGCTTACGAAACCACAATTTCAAATCTCTCACAATGCACTGGGAAAAAATGAACTCCCCTTGGCAAACTCTTGGTGGCGCACTGCATTGTGAATCGCCCGAATTGGAAAAGAATGTCATTGAGGACGAAATTGAGTAAAGGCGTGTGTGGCCGTCGTAGTGTGCATTCTAGCATGTGGCTATCAAAGGTTGATTAATTTTAATGACCAAATTAATACATTGTTTTTTTTATTTAAAACATGAGGAGACACTTGGATGACATTTATGCAAAAAGAACATTCATGCGAATCAAGAATTACAAATCTATAAGGGATTTGCCTCAAGGTTTTCCAGATTTTTTATCTCGTAGAATGTTTCTCGCCCTGGAAAAAGAAAAGTAATACAATGAAAATCATAGATATATACGAATTCAGTATTAATTATTAAAATGTTAACCTACAGCAACTGTAATTGAAGAAAGGACGTCTCGAGCTACGAAAAACTCAACCGACGCAAAAGAGAGCTTATATCGAATGTTTTGTAACTAAATATACAGCAATTTGAATACAAATATTGTGAACTGTAAATAATAAGCTGAAAATAGATTAACCTACCTTACCTAGCCAGGTGGCAGGCTACATGCAATAAATTGTGATATTTGCATTTAAAATTGAATGTTGAAATGGAGTAGTAATCGCTAAGTAGGTGTGCGCAGAACAGACGTTATTTCGGGCGCTGCCTTACTTCCAATTGCAATCTCGAAATCCCGGAGGAAAACAAAGCTTCCCTACAATTTAAAGACACAGGGATGAAAGTTGAATGCAATAAACAAAGACATACCCAAAACAGTAATGGTGAAACCACATGCCCCGCACCAAACTGGAGTGATGCCAATATCGAAATGACCAGGAGGTGGGTAGCAGGCAGGCGGCGGGTCGTAGGAGGGGAAGGAGTGGCTATAATACGCGCTGGGGTAAGAAGGCTCATCCCATGTGACGTCAGCAGTAGACGACCCTGAGTCTGTGTTCACAATGATGTCATCTTGGAAACATGGCGCAAATGTGGCTGAACCTGCAGCAAAAAAAAAACATCCATTAGAATAAACTGTGACAGGAAAATGCAATTGGTCTGCTGAATTAAATACGCACTCATGATCGTAATTCATTAAGCCAAGCACACATTTCGATCACTGGAAGGCTTTTCACAATCATATGGTTTGCACAAAGGACCAGAATTAGCCCATTCATTGGCACTATACGCGGTTAGTCCTACACGATATCACCACCCAGCTAAGTCGGTCAATCGGTCAGTAGGCTTAGGTCAGGTCAGGTCAGTTCAGGTCAGGTCAGTCGGTCGATCGATCGGTCGGTGGGTCGGTGAGTCACACGGGCAAAGAAAGGGCACTCGCCCCCCCCCCCCCCCAGTAAAAACCATCATTAAACACACTATTAATTCACACAATCAATCAAGCCGACTTGATTCTGAACTTCGCTATAAAAATTATATCATTCATGTTTTCTAGCAAAAAAAACCCATACAGCGTTCAAAAGTGAAAAACTCCATTTGACTTCCATAATGTATAAAAAAAACCCATTAACGTCTTGAACTTAACTAAGGCTATAGTATCGAAATGAAACACACTCACCTAATGACGAACCCGTGCAAGCCCAGTCAGGGCTGGTACCCGAATCCGAATCCGAGCTAATCGACCCTGCTTCCAAACAAAACAAAACAAAGAAATATGCCGAGAAAAGTTTGTCCCGTTTTAAAACCACCGGGCTGCGAAGTTTGTCCTTAAAAAAATATCTATAATTAGTGAGGAAGCGTATTTAAATTGGATGATGCGATGCGATGCGAGGGTGCAGCCTCGCCTACATCAACTCGGAACTTGGTCGCCGCCCTCCACTTATCCCTTACCAGCATTAGGGTCCTCAGCTCCCCCGTGTCACTGAGACCAACGTCCCGCCGCAGCGTGTCCATAAATTGGATAACTCAAGATTCTTAGGGTTAAACATAATACTAATATGTTTTTAATTGCGTATTTAGTACATTTTAATGACATTTTTATTGTGCGGATGCCTCAAATAAATATGAAAACATTGGGACACTTTATGAGTAAGTTTATTAAAATTTTAAAATCGACGCACTCGGGTCTCGACACAAACTGCGTACGTCACGAATTCCTAAACCGACTGTATACACTTGCGAAACCAGGGAAATATTAATGAATACTTCACTATTGTTATACCTTTATCGAGTGTGTGTAAACAACGTTTTGAAAGGTTATGAGTCAGGCGCTATATGAATCTATAAACACACCCGTAGATGCGATATTTGACCAATCAATAATCATGGACTGATCACCCCATAGCATCAACTTAACTGCAAAATCAACGACTGTTTTGTTCAGAATTGTTTATATTTTTAGGCCTTTCCGGATCGACAACTATATGACCAGAGACTGGGGAAGGGGAGGGGTTCGGGGGAAAGGGGAAGGGGCTTGGGGGAAGGGGAGGGGTTGAGGAAAGGGGGAAGGGCTCAGACTAGAGGTGGACCTGCCCAATACACATGGATGTTTGGTGTGCACCAAGGTTACTGAACAACATTAAACTTTGTACGTTTTAGACCACATTATTCTGATGATCATTGATTAAAACCCTCCTATGAAAACATGCATTTTGAGCCATGCTGTTTGGGGTCAATATTGATCAAGTGACCCATTGGTTTGTTAAACTACACCAGGGGACGTGGACAGAAATTTTGACCATCTGTGATCTTTTAAATAGCAGGAGGGTACGCGTATGTAGAGCTAGGGTTGAACGTCTGATATAACAGGCAAATTGTATGCGACCCCGCGCGGCCGCCAATCGGAGTCGACCTTGGACGTGTTACATCATTTCGATAAGAATATGGACTAAACTGTTGATTGGACAATTTGGAAGCCACGTTTTTGTTCATACAACAACGGGTAATACCGAAGACCCGATATAGAAGGAGCCCGCTGAATGGTCAGAATCTCGAGGTCAAGATGCAATCTTGTTTTGCATAATTAATCGCCGAATCTGCTCGCATATCATAGGCCCTTGCTGTGCAAGGGGATATTCCATACACTAAGGCCACACCTGCTCCCAGATTAACATAAATAAACCAAAGCAAAAAACAACAACAAAAAACAAAGAAACGGTAAAAGAAGAGAACTCGGAGAACGAGGATAGGTCGTTCCATCTTGTATATTCATGCGCCACATTAATTTAACAATGACATTACGGCTACCTTCGACCCAACGTATAGGTTGTTCGATGACAGACTTGTTAATTAGATCAATTCCCGTTGCACCCAACTTTCCATCTAAAAAACAGGAAATTGATTTTGATTGTGAACCCTGTAATAAGATTCATTAGACGGCTGGTTTATAGTATTATGATTTGGGCTTCCGCTTTGGACGCGGTCAAACAATTAATAAACAATTTTCGCCACCTGGGCTGCGGTCGAAAATGTTATAAAAATCAAAACGACTCGTTCAATTAGTGGCAGAACTTGCTTCAATTTGCAGGGGGGGGGGGGGGGCACTTAGGGGCCAAATGCTCGAAGGGGTAACACTAAATGTAGTACAATACTAATTTTTGCCTTCCCCGAGTTCTGAGTGCCGGATGGAGCGGCGGGATGTGCCACTTATTTCTACCTCTTAGTAACTCAACTGTGAGAAAGACCCCAACTGCCCAGCCGAAAAAAATTTGGGGACATAACAATTATGAATACGTTGCGGTGATGTCGGCCAATATGCACGGGGGCAGCCGATTCTGCCTCGGCTATTTATGGATGCAATGAAGTGTGTTTGTTTTCCATCGGGAACGAAATGTGCCGACGCTAAGACGAAATACAATGGAATGCAACACTGCACAAAAATGAATGTTAGGCCTTATGGTGCAATATGATGTGCATTTGAACTGAAGCTCAACGATGTTGCGGAACGAAGCGTAATATTGTCTTTCGAATAATAACCAAATATTGTACGTTTCAACGGAAAAGCCTACATGCAACATATTTTGGATCTTTTCTCCTCTGTTTGGCACGATCCAGACTGCCAACCGATGAAAAAAGAACACTTTCAACCTACCTCTCAGCAGCATCAAACCGACAACAAAGCAGCCATAAAGCCGGGATATCGTCCTACAGCAAAACATCCTTATCATTCTAGGATCCAGCAAAAAATAGATCCACCCGGAAAACTAGGTAGGGGTGAAATGGTCAATACGTCTCGAGGTTTTTAGTCACCGTCACGATCGCGTCAACAGGCTTCGGCCGACAAAACGATAAGTGCGTGTATCACGCCAAAAGACGCCTACGTTTTGGTATAAACTAACCAACGAGGTAATGTCAACATTCGTTCTCGCTGGAGTATCAACTTAGTCG